TGTCTTCATGCAATCTCTTTTGAGATATAAAAGAGAGAAGCGAGCAGAGACCCATAGGAACCTCATACCACCAAGAAAGCAGTGCTGGGAGCAGAGCGCATCCTTTGGACCTGAGGTTCCTGTGCTGAGATGCTCCCAGACCAAGGAAAGACTGAGGCATCACGAGGACCTTTCTCCAGAGCTGACAGAGAGAGAGAGAGCCTTTTCCTGGAGCTGATGCTCTGAATTTGGACTTGTAGCCTACTGGACTGGAAGAAATAAACTTCTGTTTGTTAAAGCCATCCACTTGTGGCACTTCTGTTAGAGCAGCACTAAATGACTGAGACAGAGTTTGGTACCAGGAGTGGGGTGCTGCTCTAACAGATACCTAAAATGTGGAAACAGTTTTTGAAACGGTGAATGGATAGAGGAGTGGCAGTGGCAGAGGACAAGCAACAGCAGAGAACCTGCAGCGGAAGAGAAGGGGCAGTGGCAGAAAACCAACAGCAGCAGAATGAGACCAGTGGGAGACGGCACTGGAGCCAACCCACGGAGTGAGAGAGCTGAGTGCCTGTGCACCAGAGGCTTCCTGGCGGAGTGGGGTGCCTTCAGGCACTTATCGGTGGAATTAGGCTTGCTGACCCACAGAGCGAGGGAGCTGAGTGCCTGTGTGCAGGAGGCTTCCTGGCGGAGTGGGGTGCCTCCAGGCATTTAGTCAGTGGAGCTACCGAGCTTTGGAACACTTGCCCCAGTAGGGCAGATGCAGGCATGAGGTCCGAGGGCCAAGAGGCCACAGGAAGCAGAAGCTGAAGAGACAAGGAACACAAGAAGCTGAGCTGCCTCAGTCTTAAAACGTATGGCCGAGACCTCTGGGGTTTCAAGGGGTGGAGCCATGGCCCCTGGTGTTTCTAAGGGTGGAGTTGTCACTCCAATGGACTAGGAGAATGGTGCGCCTAAAGCCAAGGGAGCAGAGTTGCTGTCCCAGTGGGCCTGGAAGGCGGAGCTGAAGCCCAGGGCTGAGGGGCCTCCACTCAGAATCTGGAGACTGTGGCCAGTACCTAGAGTCTTGAGGGCAGGGCTATTGTGTAAGTTGTCTCAGAGAACAGAAGATTATTTTCAAAGCCTTGAGGGCTAATGTAATGTGTTCTGCTAACTTGCTTGGTGCCTGTTATTCCTACTTTCCCTGCAATTTCTCCCATTTGTAATGGAAATGTCTAGCTTGTGCCTGTTCTGCCATTGTACCTTTGGAAGCAGATAACTTGT